CCCAGCTCCAGGACTGTGTCGTCAGGACGGATCCCACACAACCATACTGCATTTTCCTCCAAGACGCCATTGTGCCATACTAGGGTCTTGGTTATGAACCAACCAGCCAGAGACTGAGTGGGTCGACCCAGCTGTTTACTGAGTTTGCTCAATAGCAAAGCTAGACAAAAACAAAAATTCTGTTATATTTAGCATTTAAACAAATATGAATACAGGTACACTGGAATGTATGTGTTTGGGTGTGTACACACACACTATATATAAAGATGTGATTATTCTGCTGCAAATGGGATTCAAACGGCAACTATCCGATTACAGATGCAGAGACCTAACTTACTGAGCCATACAGCTCTTTGCAGGGGAGTCTCTCTAGCTGCCAATACAAAACTTCTAGCTGACCAGGCTAATTCACTGCAAGCAGACTCAAAATTACGAACACTGGGAAAAATAAGCAGTTACGGTCAAATTCAAACATCTTCAACATAATTATATTATATCATTTATTGGTTAAATACTGGCAGTTAGAGTGAACCCATGCCTTGTTCCCTGAGCTGCCTAGGATATAGATAAACAGTTAGTGGATGATTTTCCTGTTTCCAGTTTGCCGTTTAAAAGTAATTACAGTAACCAGAGAAGCCAGACAGCACGCTTTATCTTATACTATCCCCACCTTCCTTTGGGAGAAAGCAAACGAGGCAACGATCTCATGTGCGTATGAATTACGGAAAGCGACCTGTAAATGGTTCCCTCGTTAAAATTTAATTTAACTATTATGTCCCCCACCAGGCCCCGTATAAATGCTCTATATATACGCTACTAATAAGCTCAAGAACCAGGACTGAAACCGGGACAATTCACCGATCAGAACTGGCTGCTTCCCTTGACTTCTTGCTTAGCTGTCAGTCCATTGACAGATACATTATTACAGGAAGGCCTATACTGCCACCTGCTGTTCCGGAGTATTTGCATGATCCCAAATCTGTAATTAGCAACTATATGCTTTCGGGAAACGTGCCCCCGCTCTGTTTTGATTTATAAACTTTACTTTAGCTGATTTATGTGAGTTATACTAGTGTTTTTAGTGCAAAAGTTAATGTTTTACGTAAAATATCTTATTATCAGCAAATACAATCCAAACTATTTTAAGCTAATAATATTAATTGAATGCTACTTTCTTTTGGCGGAGGGGGGTGGAAGATGAACAGATAATTTTTGTTGGGGGGAGGCGCTGAATTGGGGGTTTGCCCAGGGCATCTTACAGACTACAACCGCCACTACTGTCATTGGCTTGTATGACGTGTAAGAGCAATATCTGAATTTGCGAGCGAATGCGGGACCACGCTGGTAGCTTTTTAACGGTACGCCACTAGGCGGCGCTGTTAGCCTTCGGCATCGTGTCTGCGAATGAGACGCACGCAGGCGCTTATGGACCCTCGCAGCATTAACGACGTAAAAAGGGAGGGATTCTGGCCTTTGGCTTATTATGGAAACCAGTTCTTGAAGTGGGGAAAAACAGGTATTGGTGCCCCCCTTGTTATTCAGGACCAGCAGATATTAAGAGGTGCCAGTACTCTAAAGAGAAAAGCGACGTGGTACTGGTACTGCGTACTGGGGAGTACTGGCCCACTTTAACCACTGATGTAAACTAACTAAAAACGAAAAAGCTTTTAATAAAGATGTGCTAGAAATTATACCATCACATGTCCCCAGTATAATTTAATGTAATATAATGATCTAACCCCCATTTATTCCGAATAATATTAAACTTTGTGCAGTTTAATTTTTACTAACACCTTTTTAGGGCTTGTGTGTGTTCAGTGAAATATAACTATTTAAATAATTACTAAAATTCCTAAAGTGCCCTCAGTAAACCGGTAAAGATGATTCAGGGTTTGTATTAACATTGCAAATATGATTATTAAAGAATATATATCAAATGAATGTCACTAATGAATGTGCTTAACGACATCCAGGTAGTTCGCTGTGTGCCTGTGGGTCATCTCCAGCGATCAGTGACCCGGGGCGTCTGCCAAACCGTAATGTCGTGTAAGAAGAGGAAATGCGGTGACTTGGCTCAGATGTCACCTTCGGTTTTCCCTTACTCACTTAACACTCTTTTTACACACACCCCCGCGAAGACATAGCGAGCAGATCCGGGCTCTTTCGTTTTCATTTCCCGGAAGGATCCCTTCAAATATTTCATGCGGGCTAAAAGAAGTAGCAGAATTTTCGGCTTCGTTTCGTCCTAATATCTACCCCGCCGACAAGGTCATCCCGAATAAGTCAGAAAGACAGTCAGAAAGTCAGGGCGTTAAATGGTCAGGATCAGGTAATAGTATTAGTGACATCTCAGGTGAAAACATGAATGACGAGTCCTCACCACCGCCTTTGATCAAGGTAAGTTCAGTTAGTCGACCAGGAAATGTAGTGTCTGTTCACGAAATAAGTTGTATTTCTTTTCTTCTACTCTTTGAAGTCGAATATATGCTAGGGTAAACAAATACTTTTATTTACTTTTACGCATAGGCATATTTTGAAATACCATTCAAGACGTGACGATTAATATATGGATTTACTTTTAGTTTGGTTTATTCAAGTAGGTGAACTTAATTCCGGGATTTATCTTAAGTTTTAAAAAGGAAATATTACACATGTCATATACGCTTTAACTCAAAATGATAAGTGATACGTACTTTCACTTTTATTATTAATGCTGTTTGTGCTGTATTACAAGCGGTTAATGTGACACTGCAGGAATTGTCATGAGTTGCGATACATTTTATCGAATTATTGTTTTAGCAAAAAGATTATAAACTGCGGGTAAAAAAGAAATAATCTCACGAATCCTAGTAATTAAAATTTCACAATTATAATAACAATGGAAAAAAAAAGAAATTAGAGTAAGCATATACGTTTAAATAATGCAAATAATGCAGAAAATTAACAATTCATAAAAAAAACGTTAAATGCAGCATATTAACACGTAAGAAAGCCGGACGCTCGCCAACCTACGTATTTAATATACAATGGTTAATTCTCAATTAGCGAATTTCATGAAACTAAGAACTCAGGAAACGTTACCTGTTCCTCCAAGTAAAAGCATGGCATTTCCTTCCATCCTATAAAATTATTTGTACTTTATTATTTATTTTTTTTGTTTATCAATTTCTTTGTTTATCTGTTTTCGTTTTCCTTAATACAGAAGGAGCGCCGCGAGCCAAGCACCCCCTGTTCTGGTCCTCCAATCGTCATGGTTCCCCCCAACCAAGTGACCTCTGTCTACCTGGGTGTTCAAGATGAGCTGTGCAAGCTCCCCGGAAGACTGCGTGCGTGTTCCTGGGTTTTCTCCATCACACTTCTGAATGATGTGTGAACCTGCTCCTCAAGAATGTATCATGCTTGCATTGTTCCCATGACCAGAAACAATCATACGTCCCCTGCTGAGGATCATGCCAGCTACCAAATGACTCAACACTGTGGTCCTTTTATTTAAGAATGTCACACGCATATATATATATATATATATATATATATATAAAAGGTTTTTACAAAACATTAGGAAGATAACATATGATCTTTAATATTACCATGTTCAGCAAGGGATCTAATAATTTCTGTCACTGCAGGTATCAACCCATCCTTGTGGGGTAAGGATGATGTCAGCCACTGGCTGCGATGGGCTCAGAAGGAATACTCCCTACGCAAGGCGGACCACTCCAAGTTCGAGATGAACGGCAAGGCGCTCTGTCTGCTGACCAAAGAGGACTTCCGTCTACGCTGTCCAAGCTCAGGTAGACAGTACACCTCCAGGATAGTCATTTTACAGCTTTTATAATCATGATTCTTAAGCCAGACCTTGGAGGACTCCATTGTGTTCCAACATCCTCTTCTCCGCCACTGCCTCCCGTGGGTTCTGGGTCAGTCTCGCGGTGAGGCTGGTCTTCCTGATGAGTTTGGTCTGGTGTAACCTAGAAACAAGCCAAGAAATTCATTACAAGGCTATGAAAAACAGAGAACCGCTGGCTACTAACACCAAATATCAGAGAGAGAGAGAGAGAGCTGCTTCACTAGTTCTGCTAGTCAACTAAACTGTTACATGGAGCAATTCTTGTATTTATAATTAATTGAGCTTAGCAAATGAAGCCAAAGGGGGAACAGAAAGGATTATGATTCAATTGCATTCATTTTAATTTCATGAAGTGTCCTTCCCATCACTGTTGGTGTGCTTCACTTATATGTACGCAAACGCACATGGTGCACTGTACTAGCAGAAAAAGCCAGAAGAGAGAGGAGGGGGAGAGGAAAAACCCCTTAGTTTTCACTAGTAGGGGGATTTTCCAAGGTCTGCAGGATGGCCTCCCCCGCAGGGCTTGCTAACAGTACAGTAGGGCTGTGTATGGGCAGGAATCTGCCGATACGATACCTGTCGTGATACTGTGGTTATGATTCAATATATTGCGATATTGTAAGCAAGGCGATATATTGTGATTTTGAAATCTAATTTTAGGAAAACTGTCATAGTATAAAGAACATACCACTATATAAATATATATAAAATCTGAAAAAAGTTTACTTTTTAATGCAGTCAGAACAGTGAGATCTGCATTTGCATTTATGCTTTTATCACAGTCCCTGTAATATCCACCACCATAGCACTACTTTTTATGCAGTTTGAGCAAAGGAATAGATATTTGATTATACAGTGGTACCTCGGTTCTCGAACTCACTAGAACTTGAATTTCTTGAAAGTCGAACAAACCAGTTTGACCTAGAACTCGATCTGAATATCAGAAGACGAACCTCATATAAATTGTACACGCCAGGAAATGAGTCATACAACAATGCCTTCTTCACAGACTGGACGATTAACCAAATAAAGCAGCACAACATTACAGTAACCAACAATAAATAAACCACTAACGTACGTGTACTATTACAGCATTTATGTCATTTATTTAAACTTTATTTTACCAGGTAAATTAACTGAAAACCAGTTCTCATTGATTTACATAATATTCGGGAGAAATAGCAGATTACGCATCGGAACTGCCTGGGATACAAACGTCATGCGTGTAACTAAACTCTTCAGCCAATAAGGGCAAAGGTGTGTCGTCACGGAGGTGGTTCCAGTTTGTGCAGCCGGGTGAGAGGTCGCAATGCATCTAACCGTAATGCATTGCATCACATGGGGATCCCACACGAGGTTAATGAGGGGGCGTGGCACACGGAAGGAGCGGACGATAGGGGCAGGACAGGGGTAATGTTGGGACAAGATCTTTATCGTTTTGGAAGCCATTAAGAAAAAAATGCTCTTCTTGTTTTATCCTGTTCATTTAATGTTTAAATGCTAAAACAAAAAAAAAACATATTTAGGTGTAATTTTGGGGGGCCGGGAACCAATTAATTGGTTTTCCATTATTTCTTATGGGAAAAATTCGATCAGAACTCGAACTTTTTAGGATTCGATCTGGAGTCCAGAACGGATTAAGTTCGAGAACCGAGGTACCACTGTATTAGTAAAAAAAAGAATAAATATGCTTGCAGGATACATGACACCATTTTGCCAGTGGCATGGCTCTTGTCAGTCTGCTTAGTGCTTTCTTTATTGTGGAAACCAAGATGGGTCCATACTTCAGCTCTACACGCCTTGGGAGCTGGTACAACTCTTTTGGATTCAGCCATCAGTGCTAACGTTACTAGTCAGCTAGGTTTATGCAATGTTAGTGATGCAGTTACTTCCTGTCTCAGATAAGATATGATAAGATAAGATAACATAACATAACATAACATAACGTAACATAAGGTAACATAGTAAGATGCGTTTCTCTTTACTGCACAAATACAATGAGATGCTTGTAGTAAGCCTAAAGATGCCAAGTTAAGGATAAAACTATAAATGAGTAACATTTACAGACTATAAGCAAAGGTAAGATGCATAATAAAATAAAATATGAGATATAAACAATAAAATAAAATGAAGAAGAATAAAAATAAAGAATAAAATTTTGATACTGGAAGCAAAGAATCCAACAGTACAAGGAATATCATGAGGGATATTACACAACAAAAGCATGGCACTGGAGAACTCCGGACCTCTGCTCTTGTGTACGTCGCCATCTTGGTTCATAGTTCTTAGTTTACCTTGTTAAGTTGAAGTGGAATAGTCAAATGGCTGAATATAGATTACAGTAGCTATCTAGTGGTTTAAACACACCACAAAATGAACTACCATCTGCCACAAATCTTTTCTTGTAAACTATTACTTAAAAATTTATACAATATCACAAAATGTTATCGCGATAGTCAAGTGTATGGGCATTTTCTATAGCCTATTTCACTTATTCTTCACTTTTCTGCATGTGATTTTGTGCGCTTTCAGGCTGGGGAGGGTCATCTGTGCAGAGCCTTATGTTCATGCTACATTTGGCTGTAGATGGTGCATGCATACAGCAGTGATATTCCACCAGACCAGGAGAGGGCAGATGTATTGCAACAAACACAAATACAAGCAGCGTAGTGAAATGTGTAATATTTTGAAATAAGCGATAAAATGTGCAGAGCAGGAGGTCCCGGCTAATTTTGTCGTAAGGATTTCAAAATACCCCAATTACCCTAACACCATCAAAGCCTTAACTAAAAACTTAAAAACATAAAAATGTTCATAAAAGTTTACCCATTTTACTACATTGCTTTTATTTCTGTTTGTTGCAAAACATCTGCCCTCCCCTGGTCTGGTGGAATATCTCTGCTCTTTGCATGCACCAACCACGACCACAGCCAAATGTACCATGAATGCAAGTTGCCATGTGCAAGATTGTCCGTAGCCCGAAAGTGCATGAAACCACTTTCATGTAAAGTAAAGTATGACATGGATTTCCACTAGACATAAAAATCTAGGCTACACATACCCCGACAACAGTATTCTGCAGCCAAGCCCTGACGAGGAACTTTGCATCACATCCCCTGCAACCAACAGAGCATGTAGAAAAGTGAAGCATGAACTGGCCTTTAGGATGCTGTACTCCTTATAGCTGGAGGCAGGTAGAGCAGTGGTCAGATGCTGTGTTAACCTGCCTATGGTGAGATGCTGTGTTAACCTGCCTATGGTCAGATGCTGTGTTAACCTGCCTATGGTGAGATGCTGTGTTAACCTGCCTATGGTGAGATGCTGTGTTAACCTGCCTATGGTGAGATGCTGTGTTAACCTGCCTATGGTG